AGATCATCTTTTAGAGAACATAATCAAAAGAGTCTACAGTTCTCACCAAAACTACCTATACTGCAAGCTGAAAACACATGTATGAGATCATCTTTTAGAGAACATAATCAAAAGAGTCTACAGTTCTCACCAAAACTACCTATACAGCAAGCTGAAAACACATGTATGAGATCATCTTTTAGAGAACATAATCAAAAGTGTCTACAGTTCTCACCAAAACTACCTATACTGCAAGCTGAAAACACATGTATGAGATCATCTTTTAGAGAACATAATCAAAAGTGTCTACAGTTCTCACCAAAACTACCTATACTGCAAGCTGAAAACACATTATGAGATCATCTTTTAGAGAACATAATCAAAAGTGTCTACAGTTCTCACCAAAACTACCTATACTGCAAGCTGAAAACACATGTATGAGATCATCTTTTAGAGAACATAATCAAAAGTGTCTACAGTTCTCACCAAAAGTACCTGTACTGCAAGCTGAAAACACATGTATGAGATCATCTTTTAGAGAACATAATCAAAAGTGTCTACAGTTCTCACCAAAACTACCTATACAGCAAGCTGAAAACACATGTATGAGATCATCTTTTAGAGAACATAATCAAAAGTGTCTATCATATGAAGTCTTACCGTAATTAATAAAGAGGTAAACCATACCAATTCATATATTGGTTGAAGTTTGAATGCTTAAAAATCAACATATCTCGTAACTATCTAATTACAATTATTATGAGTTAATTACTCAATTATCTAATTAAAATGGCTTTGATTTAACTACTAAACTATCCAATTAAAATTACTTTGATTGCAGAAGTCCCCTTGATACCCTGAGAGACAGGTGAAGCATTTGCCTGTGTCGACGTGACATTGATGGTTGGAACAGCCGGAAGAACATTCCCTGCTGCAATTGGTGCCATAAAATCCTTGTTGACAGGCTGACAGACAAAATGGTTAAGTTTACCGGAGCTAGCTGAGCTAAGGTTAGCAGACAGTGCGCGGGGGGCGAAACTACAGTGTCGCCAGGGTGGTGGGGGTGGTGGGGGTGGTGGAAGAGGCTGTTTAGGGTGCCCACAGTCGACCATAATTAATATTTTTTAAAATTCGATTCCAGTTTTCGTGCATTTTGTCTTGATATTTGGATTGTATAAAAAAACTTTAAATTTTAATAATTTCTGTGACTTGTTGCTCCAGTTTGATAGCCAAATAGGGGACACGTAAGTGTACTGTGGCGGATGGGGCAGGGGTGGGGATCAAATAGGGGCTCGAAAATTGTTGTCAAATGTATTCATATATTAAAAAAAAGTTATTTATAATTGTATTTTTTTAAAAACCATCGTCAAGGCCAAGTCCTCTGCTCTTTCTTCTATATTCCCCACCTTCATAAAACCATTTTGTGAACTTTTTTTCCAAGTAGACATAACTTAGGAAACTTCACTTTGTAATAAAGCACGTCTTTTTTCAATACTTTTTTTCATGACTTCAAGCATTGGATGCTTTACATTTTAACATCATTTTCATAACTCTAGTTAGAATAGTTTTATTTCGGGGATTTTTTTTTGCACAGTGATTGTTGATGCCAAAACAAAATGGCTGACATTTGTCCGGTTTTACCAGGCTATAAAGTTTTGATCATCCTCAGAGTAAATCTTGACAGATCAATATCATAAAGGTTTTATTTGTTAGATAATAACTAAATCTACATGAATACATTAATTTTATCAACTAGCTTGCATTTTCAGAAAAGTTATAACATTTATTGTTATGCAGCTCTTGTTGCCCAGGTTTGAGTTAATCATTGAATTCTACATAGGGGCAATAAAACCTACCATAAAACTTCTGAATCTTTTGTAGGTAACATAGATAAGTGTTCTTAGATATCAGCCAATCAGAGATGGCATGTTATGACATTTATGACCATCATGGTCCAGCAGGGAGGAGATCTAAGAGGAATCCGCCTGCCTACCACTGCCCTTCCCTAACATTCCTCACCTTCTTAAAACCATTATGTAATCACCATGAAACTTCTAATCCCTTTGTAGGTAACATGGATTGCTTCTCTTAGATCTAACCCTAACCCTAAGCCAACCAGAGATAGCATCTTTTATGTAATGTATGGCCCTCAGGGTCCAGCAAGGAGAACAAAGGGGAAACCAGTACCACTGCTCTCCCCTCAACATTTCTCACCTCCATGTCATGCTATGTAATTGTAATGTATAACACACATGGCTTATCAGGGGAAAGCATCAAGGCAGATTAGTTAGTAACACCCCTTTTTATTATGGAGTTAGGGTTAGGGTTAGTCTAAACTAGGAGATAATACTTAATGCCCTGTGCTCCGGTACATTTGCACCAAATGCTGATTTGGGGGGGGGGGGGGGGGGGTATGGCTATAATAAATGCTAAATAAAACCTATTACCTATTTAAAGTTAATTTAATAGCCTTTATTATTATTTATATATTGTGATAGATGTATTAGAATAATTTGGAATTAATTTCAACATTAGAAAATACTTGAATTAGTTAAAAAAATCTTAACAAATGTACAGGTTCTAAAAAGTGTGGCTCTTAGTACCCTTCATACTACTACATTTTTCAAACCCTAACATACTTATTAGTTACATACACAACCTTCCTTACTTGAACCCTAACATACTTACACAACCTTATTTATAATATTTAAACCCTAACATACTTACATACACAACCTTACTTGAACCCTAACATACTTACATACACAACCCAACTTAAACCCTAACATCTAACTTAAACCCTAACATACTTACATACACAACCTAACTTAAACCCTAACATACTTACATACACAACCTTCTCCACTAAACCCGCGAGCACATCCTGATAAACAAAGTCCAGTGCTGACGTCACATGACTCGTTAACGTCTGCGCAGTTACAATGAAACTGACATTCCGCGCCAAACAGTTTAGGTGGACAGAAGGTATCTAAGGATGATCAGTTAAATGTTAAACCAGTCTAAGGATGATCAGTTAAATGTTAAACCAGTCCAGTGGCGTAGCGAGAGAGGGGCGGGGGGTGCGGACCGCACCGGATGACACCATTTAGGGGGGTGACACCAAGGCAAAAAATAGCAAACCAAGGCAAAAAATAGCAAAATATATAGAGAAAAGTGATAATTCCACTCAATTAAGTGATTAATTCGAGTGTTAAAAAGTCTTTTAAGAGCAAATTTGACAAATCCCGACAAGGGTGGAGTGGGGGTGCAAATCGAAAATTGAAAGCCTGTCCTCGGGCGCCGGGAAGGGTCGCTACGCCTCTGGGGGGTGACACCATTAATGGCCGCACCGGGTGACACCCGCCCTCAATACGCCACTAATCCAGTCTAAGGATGATCAGTTAAATGTTAAACCAGTCTAAGGATGAGCAGTTAAATGTTAAACCAGTCTAAGGATGAGCAGTTAAATGTTAAACCAGTCTAAGGATGAGCAGTTAAATGTTAAACGGATCATCAGTTAAATGTTAAACCAGTCTAAGGATGATCAGTCCAAAATGACCACCTCCCTATGTGTTTGATCTAGTGACCGTTTCATCCGACGACTAAATCGGACAAGAGGTTACACCCAGCGCCCCTGCAACCTGTGACGCATGATAGCGCCGGTGAACGGAAAAAAAGTCGCAGGCAAAAAAAAAAAAAAAAAAAAAAAAAAAAACCACAGAAAAAAAGTCAGTTTTTGCTAGGAAAAACAGTCACAGAAAAAAGTTACAATGGAAAATTTTTTCCAAAAAAAAGTCACAGAAAAAAGGTCACAAAAATCTTTTTAGAAATCTTTTGATTTATATATTGAAAATTGTAAAATTGTGTATGTTTATTGCTGTGGGTTGTATTTTTTATAGCATAAATTATTTATAGACGTTAAAATCCTTAAGATAATTTATACAACAATCTTAACTTTTGTTGCGTATTTGGTTAAATACGCGGTAGAAAAGTTAATTATAAAAGAAATTTAGGCACATCGTGTTTTGCATGTTTTGGCGTAGGCTATTCTCCGGTCGGCCTCTCCTCAGTCGGCCTTGTCTGAACATATTGTGTGTTGTGGACGTTTTGTGTCAATGACAGCCTTTGAACCGTGTCGGCTTTCTGTTTTGATCCCATGCTTTGTTATGTAATGAGCGTGATAAATGTGGGCAGTAAAGGTGGTTGAACTAATCATAACTATTGTTGCCATGAGTTGAGGGCAGCAAGTCAGATGAACTTACCATTTCACGGTAAATTAATGTTAGTAATTAAAATGAAAACTGAGGACGATGGTGCATTCTATTAAATGCTATTAATATTATGTTAAACATAATTACAATCTACATACTTCATACTAAATATTTTTAGATGAATTATAAAAATTACTATGCTTATAAGACCTACTCACATTACATTACATTTAATCAATCATATTTTAATTTGCACTCTCTAAATATTTAATACATAAAAGTATTAACAAATTTTATGCAAATATATATTAGTGCCTTTTTTCCCTGTGATTTTTTTCCTGTGACTTTTTTCTGTGTTTTTTTTTCTGTGTTTTTTTTCCTGTGACTTTTTTTCCCCCCTACAATCGATAGCGCTTCCCCTAGGCGGTCGCCCAGATTTATTTATAACTCGCTATTACGGAGGTTGGTTACCGTTCACTCAAGGTTTTCATCCAGGGCCGTCTGGGCGGTAGTGGGGACAAACCCCAAGAACTAGGATCCAAGAAATATCGCGCCGGCTTAGTGGACATTTAAATAATTCAGTTTTAGAAAACATGGTGACGGGTCTAAAATACACGATTGGTAACGCATTGTTAAGGTTTGGGAAGGTGTTAAGAATTCCCAGGGGAAGTTCTGCAAAGATATTTATTTTATTTTTTTAAGGAGAGGCGCCCTGGCAGGGTGCGATATGGCGCAATATGTTGATTCTTTTTACGGAGCACCCTAGAACAAGGTCACGGGGTCAGGCTACATTCGACGATTGAACCAAATCAGTGGCTGTACCAGGCGTCAGTAGTGTAAGCAGTGGCTCCAGAGAGCGACGCACCGGACGGTTGGATATGGATTTATGGATATGGATATATGGCTATGGATACTGCATAGAATTAATGATTATTTGAGCAGATAAATTACCTCCATAAACTTGTAGCTCGCATATAGAGAGGAACAGCCCGTTCTTTTTGTCTTGTGACGTCAGAGAGATTTGTGTGATGACCTTTCTGTTCTTGGGAGCCACAACGTTGTAGATGTTCTGAGCGTAGGGGATGCTGTCGGTGTAGTCAATGTCTGCAGTTCCAGCCACAGTCCATGTTTGGAGGTGGAAGCCTTTCAGTCGGTCTTGGCAGCAATCAACTGTTCCAATCATTAGTTACAAGCTTCAACATCTTTCATCTATTATATGTAAGTATACAAATGCACGCATAGTTTTGTTTGTCTGTCTGTCTGTCTGCCTGTTTGTTTGCCATGAAGCTTCGGGAACTATCTGCCCGGGCACTATTTCAACTATCAGAGGTGCAGTGCCCGGGCAGTAGAAGGCGGTTCAGGTGTCCAAAGTCCCAAAGCGTCTAAGTTAGCACATTGGGTCCGCAGATAGGGCGATCTACATAGGGGTCAGGGTTTTAAGGTTAGGGGTAAGGTTAGGATCAGGGGTAATACTTGAATCCACGGATGGGCTGTTATAAACGATGACTTAACCAAACCAGTACACACACAAACACACACACACACAATCACACACACACACACACACATATATATATATATATATATATATATATATATATATATATATATATATATATATATATATATATATATATATATATATAATGACTGTCATATATCCTATTAGGCCTAAGTCTATGCATCATGTTCCATCAGTTGCCTAATTCTATGCAACGCTACTAACCTCTGTTGTAGATGACTATTCTGTCCACTATAGCTGGTACAGCAAACTTGACCAGCAGGCTGGGCTTAGGGTCACCTTCTTTAGTGTGCACACACGAGCCCGAATGGTAGGAGCCCTCCGTGTTACCGTCCACTGCATTGCCAGCTACTGATTTCTCGTCTAACTTGCTTGACAGTTCTGCTACTTGTTTCAAAGCCACGTTTCTCCCTTATATATATATATATATATATATATATATATATATATATATATATATATATATATATATATATATATATATATATATATATATATATAAAACTCAAGTTTTATTCGACGACTAAATCGGACCAGATGTTACACCCAACGCCCCTGCGGCACTGCAACCGGTGATGCATGATAGTGCCTCCCCTAGGCGGTCGCCGAGATTTATTTATAACTTGCTATTATCTAAATACACGATTGGTAACGTGTATTTGGGAAGGTGTTTGGCAAGTTGCCCAGGGCGCCCAATCGAAACCTATCTGGGCGCCGGCGGACGCGCCTGATTCAATTTAGTGTACGAATATAATACCCCGAGCTTGTTCGCAAACGGAAAGATAGAAGTAAACATAGAGGACATTTAGGAGAGGCTTCTAAGCTGTTATTGATTACCAATAACAATTAGTAAACAGTACGTTCAGTAAAAGGCAGTACCTTTATCAATCCATGCTTATTATGTAATTTTTTTCCGCACTATTATACACACATTGTTTGCTGTTCACTTGGTGCACAATGACGTTTTCTACGAGATTCTATTCTATTTATAAAAGTTTACGTAATAAATTTTTTTATTAAAAATCATGTCTATATCCGAAGTGTTTTATAAGAACTAGGCATACTGCTTAGCTCATACCCTAACCCTAACCCTAACCCTAGGCATACTGCTTAGCTCCGCTTAGATTTAAAAAAAAACTTTTGAGAATTTGAATGATTAATTAATTTATGATTGGCTTAGGGCCCAAGTTTAAACAGTCTGAGTAGTTTCATATAAAAAAAACATGAAATTAGTATTCGCAAAAGTATTACTCGCAAGGTTATTAGAACTGCAAAGGCTTCCTTAATAGTATAAATCAAATATTATAATAAATTCACTTTCGCAATTAATTTTGACAATTTAAGTACAATACATAACTTAATTTATAACGAAATATCTATTTAACTGAATGCTATACTTTGTGACTTTTGTTTTTCTTTAAAATAATATTTTAAAAAAAAATTACTTTATCGTTACCTCCCTTGTACATAGACCAAAAGTCGTAGTCTTTGTATACTTTTTCACAAACAATTGTTTTTTATAAGAAAATACGGCATCTGGACAAATTTAACGACCCTAAGGAGTTTCCAACGGGAATAATGTTTTTTAGTTACCCTCCTGGGCGGTCTACGACCTCACAAAATATTAGGGGAATCGTTCGTCAATTTATATATATATATATATATATATATATATATATATATATATATATATATATATATATATATATATATATATATATATATATATCTCATATAAGAAGAATTTCGCTCGCGGTCATTTTTAGCCCTCGTCGATGGCTTTGAGTC